AACAGCTGGGCTACGCGCTCATTCATAAGCTGCAGGGAACTCGGGGGCAGCGTACAGTTGGTTTTTGATGGTTTTTGAGCGACGTGGGGAAGCCACAGAGGCCATGTGGGGTAAAGTGGATCGAAGGTGTTCACGCCCCTCCCCACCGCTGAGTCACCGGCTTGCTTTGGAGGGAAGAGGAGACATATGTTCTGGTCACTTTTGTCTTCTTGGATTATAGGGCTGTTCAGCCCAGGGTGACTAAGTGGGAGCAGCCTGTGGGTCTTAAATGTTCTCAGCTGGGTGTTTCTACAGTGCTGTCGCCATAGCACCCACTAAGCCGGGAGAGGCAAAGGCAAGGCGACCCGGACTGGGGGGGGGGGGGTGTCCCTGCCCACACAGTGGCCTGGAGCCTGCAGGAGTGGGGTGTCCCTTCCCCCCAATCCCCTTGAGGGATGAAGCTTTCAGTTGGCCTAGATTGCCATGTTCTGCCCAGTGAAGTCATGGTCACTTGCTACAAAGGGCTAGCGCCCTGGAGGAGGTCAGGAACATCCGCTGTTCCTCAACAGAAGTGGTGGCTACATGTCCTAGGCGGCTGGGGCCCTGCCCCGGCCAGAGTGCTTGGTGCTGGGGCTCGGGGCAGAGGAAGGTGTCTGCTTGGCTCTCGCCTGCCCTAGCCTGGGAGGACATGGGTGATGACCTGGGTGGCCATCTCTTGGGGCTGGTGCAGCTCAGAAAGCATCTCTCTGCCTGCGCCCCAGGAGGCATGGTCCCTGACGAGAGGCTCAGTGGCGCCCACGGCCCCTGCCCAAGCTGCGTGCCCCACCAAAACTCCTGCTCCCCACGTGAGACCTGTGCCACTCCAGCTGGTCACCAGGCTCATTTGAGTAAATGGAAATCTTCAAACACCACACCCTCCCCTGCTCGGGAAGCTGCCAGGCCCCGCTAATGAGGCCAGCGCCCTGCCTGCTCGTCCAGCGTGGGTTTCTCTCCACTCCAGGGAGTGGGAAGCTGATGTGAAAGACGTGACCGCAGCCTGGAAACCCAGAAACCACGGGCAGGCCGGCTGGGTGCCCCAGGGGCCCGGGCTGAGAAGGAGCTGTGCTCAGCCGCGTGCTCGAGGCCAGCACACCCAGGGGGCCCTGTGTCCCGGTTTACACCGCGGTCACCGTTCAGAGCTGCGCCTTCCCTTCTCCAAAGTCCCCATTTAGATGACAACTGGCATGGAGGCCACCGCTCTGGGCAGCCTTTCCCCTTGGGCTACCTGCAGCTTTTTTCAGCACTTCAGCCCATCCACCTGGGCAGGGTCTCCACGTGCCTGGCTCACCTGAGCCCACACACCCTCCCAGGCCCGGCCACCACTGGAGGCGGTGGGGACTCTGGGGCAGCCCCCAGGGAGGGTAGGAGGTAGTGACACAACGTTAGGGGTGGATTGGAGCTTCCTGGGGGTGGGGTGGGGATAAACCCCGATCTTCTTCCAGAACCTCGCAGGCATCCATCCTCCTTGGCTGCCCCCTTAGAGGCTCCTGGGCACCAAGCCCCTGTGTGTGTGAGCGTGGGGACCAAGGAGGTGCCCTTGTCACGGGCTGGTTGACACCTGCAAGGCCATACTGCTGATGTCCCTGACAGTGCCTTGGGGTGGGGTGGGGGTGAGGAGTAGGACACTCATGAAGCAGAGCTGGCGAGGGCCTCGCAGGCGGCTTCGGCCTAGGGTGGGGTGGTGTTTTGTTGATGGGAGCCGGGGGTGGGTCGCCAGGAGTGGCATCTGTTTTCTGCTCTCCGTGCCTCTGCCTGTCTCTGAGCGAACCCCAGCCCTTCCGGACCCTTCTATCCAGAGGGTGTTCCCAGGGCCCAGGCCTCTAGCCTTCCTGTCCTCACAGGCGCCTCGTGGGCTTTCTAGGCAGGGGATGTGGGGTGTGAGTGGTCCCCTGGGCAGGCGCCCTGCACCGCTGCAGCCTAGTGGCGTCTCCCCACAGCATGGCCTCACCCACTGTGCCCTGCACAGGCCCCCAGGTCACCCCAAACCTGCAGGCTCACTTCCCGGCTTCCTGGAGGAGCCGCCATGCAGCGTGCAGGGGAGATTCCGTGGGAGCAGGCGCAGGAGGCACTGGGAGGCACATTTCGTAACCAGAGGAAAAGTGCTCTGAGCTGCTGGGGCGGGGGCGGGGGC